TAGGTAGGTAGGTAGGTAGGTAGGTAGGGAGAGAGAGTAGGTAGGTAGAGGGATAGAGAGAGAGAGAGAGAGAGAAATATAGTAGGGAGGGAGAGGGAGAGAGAGAGAGAAATACAGTAGGTAGGTAGGGAGAGAGAGAGAGTAGGTAGGTAGGTAAGTAGGTAAATAGATGTTTCTAGGTGTACTTATCCATGTGCTGGAGAAGGAAATCGCTGACAATCTGCAGCACCTAACTTTGTTCCTGCTGGCACAGCATTTGATCCACGTAATTCTCATCAATCAGTTAAAGAGCTTTCCAAAAGGAAAAAAAAAAGTTTTTGCACTTTGCAAACCTGCCCAAAATGGCCCATTTTTCACGAAAACGGGCCCATTTTTCTTCAAATAAAAGGCATGAATAGCCTTGGGGAAGCTTGCAGAGTGCTCTGGGGGTGGGGGGGACAGACAAAAATGAGCAAAAAAACTGCCCATTTTTCGCAAAAATGGGCCCGTTTTTTGTAAAAAAAAATATTGCAGGCATAGCCTTATGGAGGCTTATAGAGTGCTGCTGGGAGGCAAAAACGGCCCATTTTTTGCTCATTTCTGCCCTCTCCAGCCCCCAGGAGGTCTCTGAAAGCTTCTATAAGGGTATACATGGCCATTTTAGTGAAGGGGTGGGGCTTTGGGAGGAAAAAAAATGCTGTATTCGATGTATAAGACGCACCCAGATTTTCAGCCCCTTTTTTGAGGAAAAAAAGGTGTGTCTTATACTCCGAAAAATACAGCAGTTGATTGCATTCAGGCACCTGGAGGAAACTTAAAATCACAGTATGCACACTGATAATCTCCAGAGTGAACTACTGCAATATGTAAGGCTACTTTTAGTGCAGAAAGTTCAGTTAGTACAGAATTATCATACCAAGTTGGTCTCAATGACTCAAAGACATACTTACACTGTGCTGAAAATAATATACTTGGTATACTACAAGTCATAGTTGCTTGGTTTGGGTTACCTGAGATTGTCTTCTTCTACACAATATCCCCTTTGCTCATCTGGAGAGCTTTGCATACAGAGGTTACAATTATATCTCTGTCATTTCCCACATAGTGTAGAGCAGTGGCAGTCAACCTGGTCCCTACCGCCCACTTGTGGGCGTTCCAGCTTTCATGGTGGGCGGTAAGGGTTTTGTCCGATACTGAAGCACTTTCCTTTTTTTNCCAGGCCTTTGATCCTATGTGCTATCCCTGGAATTAGCAAAGAAAATTTTTGAAGTATTTTTCAAGGAAGCTTTCAGCTAACATGAATGTGTGTCTCCCTTAAAAGGGTGTAGTACCACATACAAATTTTCATCAAATATGTAGCACCTATTTAGCTACTTAAAGAGGTCTTAATGTTTGGAAGGCTATCCAAGCAACATTTCCTGTTTCCCCTCATCTTGTCTTTTCTTTTTCATTGTTTTGCTGAGAAGAGACCTTATCGTAATGTGTTTTCATTGCACCTCAATCCGCTTTATATTAAAAACATGGTTGTAGAGCAGATACAGTGTGAAAGTACCTCATATATGTTTTTCCTTGCAGAAGAATGGCTCTTGGTCCCCCTCAGATTTCTTATTAATTGTATTTTCAATTTATAATGTTGTAAAAAGAATAACAGAATATAGTTCTGCTCTAGATTTTCATAAATAACATTTCAGTTGCTATTACGAACTGCCTTTTTGCATACAATGTTGTTACAAATATACTGTATGTCTTGATTAATTGTATCTATATTGTAAAAGGAAAAAGAATTGAAGTTCTCCAAACTCTAGTCTATGTGAATTAAAACAGCGAATTAAATAATATATTTCTGTATTATTTTACAATTAGTGAACATATATTCTGCAAATTGAAAGCTGGGAAAAAGGAGAGAAATGCAATCACAAGTTGTGTTTAGCTCTCATTCTTTCTGCTTTTAGGAAACCTCTAAAGCAGATCTTTCTAGCCAAGCCTTTTTAAAACCAACAGTTTTATTTTTTTGTTTTACTATGTGTCTATGGAGATTCTCAGTCATCCAGGTCATGGTTATCGGAAAGATACTTTTTCAAGAGGCAACTGGACTTTTTGGCTTTTCTTGAAAGCTGAAGAAGCTTCTTGGATGTGAAGCAAAATGTCTTCAAAGAAAAATGTTTTACTATGTGTTTTACTATTTGTAAAGTTGTGTTTTCTGTTTGTATATTTTGAATTAAAAGTCCCTCTGTTCATTTTGAATGTAATACTTGAATTAAAATGTTTTGTGTGGTGGCTAGATTTAGTCTTTGTAGGATTTTCTTTTTTAAACTTGTGCTTGTTAAATTTTATTCTTTGTTGTAGAACTTGCCTTTCTTCTGATAAATTAAATGGTATTTTTTTGTTTTTCAGAGATAATATTTTATAAAAAAAATATTACAGTCATTTTGGTTTCCTGCTTGTATGAATTTTGGTATTTATTTCAGTTGCCAAGTATATAATTTGTGTCCTGAATACTTCTCAGTTACCTTTTAAAGTTGGAAATACATGCAGATTATCAGAATGCCACATTTTTGTTTTTTCTTGTCTCCCAGGTCGTCAGATTTTGGAACATTATATACTAAATTAAACTTACAGCCTGGAATTGTTACAGTCATTGAAAATTTCTACATCTGTCCTGCTAACAAGAAGAAGGTATGGGGATCATTGTTTATTTCAATAGAAGAGCCTAGGAAAAAAAAGTACTTAGAATAAATTTCTAGCAAAGTATATCAGCCACATGTTCGAAAGAGAAACCATTAGAAATACTAAATACACAGAATTAAACTGCAGGTGGATTTATTCAAGCATGAGAAAATGATGATATATATGAAAAAGTAAAAGCAGACAAATACTGTATCCTGGCGCTTAAATAATGTAAATACAGACACATCCTGTACAAAACAAAAACCTGAAGATATCTGCTACATGAACAGGAGGAAACCATAATTTATTTGAAAGTATTTCATAACACAAAGCAGGATTAAGGTTAATGTATAGTTCTTAATTTCTGAAATCCTTTGATTATTTGTTGCACAGATGTCTTAATTCTTTCTTTAGCACTGCAACTCTGGCATCAGATATTGAATCTACTTGAACAGCTTTTTTGGGAGAGGGCAATAGGGTGAAAATAAGTTATTCCTTCCCTCTTATAGTACTTCATCCTCAAAAAATTTGTATCCTCCATCCTTCTTATAACTCTATAGTATGTATAATATAGTATTTTCTCTTGATGAATAAACATGTAATATTTTTCTTAAAACCTAAGTTGGCCTTAGCTTATATTGTATATCATAATGCAGAGTAGGATTGTGTAGAGAAAATTGTGTGTGAGAGAGAGAGTGGGGAGGGGAGAATACATTTTCAGGTATGTTTACACAGTCTTGGGTATGGTTGTATGAAATGGAATTTATCTGAGAACTAACAAAAACAGTATTTCTCTAAATTTTGCCTATATCAGGGACAAATGTCAAATTTACTCCCAGCTTGCCTGTACACAAATACCTCTTTTATTTATTTTGTCCAATGTAAGGTTCTAAAACTTATTTGAATGCTATCTTATTTCAGAGGAATTGTGTAGCTTAATTGTGACAATCTCGGCAGATGTGCTCTAAAACAGATATTAATTATTCAATATTCTGTGAGATATTTTTAAAAGTTAGAGTATTTCACTTAAAAACCATTACATGTATTGCTAATAACAAGGAAAGGAAGAACACTTCAAAATATTCTGTATAAATAGGCAACAGAACAAAAGGATCACAACACAAAAATTGCAACATAGCATAGGATAGAAAAAATTATAAACAACTGGAAAAAGTTTGGACAGAAAAGACTTCCAAACACCAATTCTATTCTCACTCTTCTATAATGCTGTGGAAGGTAGTTTTGTGTGGCATTCAGGAATATATAAATGAAGCACTCAGCTAGGATTGGTTGCCTACATCCCCCTCCCTTTCTCCTTTCCTGCTAGATAGATATAACTAGATGTACATTTTAGGCTATTGACCTTTATAGTTTCTTCCTTCATCGAAACCTTGCACCACCCCATGTGATATTATAGTGTGATGAAGCACTAGAGGCTACTACTAGGTAGTCTGCCTAGTAGGCTACAGGCTCCTTGTTCATGCATTCAACCTTGTTTCTTGTAAATTCCTTACACTAATTCCAGCACATGACATATTGTATTTTTGTTCTTGCTGATGTGAAATACTTTGCTTCTGGAATGCTGGAAGACATAGGTGGTTGGTGCTATAATTAACTATAGATTAACTCATTTTTGTAAACGTTGAATCCAACAAAAACTCTTCATTCTTCACTTGTAGCTTTTGGAAAAAACCTCGTTTCCATTTCCTGTTCTGAGTACACTGCCCTCTTTGTTAGGATGGAGTGGGACATTTCTAAGATTGCAATACTTCCTGGCTTTCTTTGTGTGTCATCCTTGTTTTAGTACCCAAGTCAGACAATAATTAAAGTTTTGTTAGGATGAGACCATCAGGCATGCTTGAAGGAATGTGAGAAATTATAGACTGCTGTTAAATGGAGTGACCAAAGCTGAAAACATACTGATAATGCCTGGTAGTTTGGCTTATTTGTCAATCAGTTGTTTCAGATGGCATTTGAAGGTCAGTTGGAGTGAAAGATGCCTGAAGCTCGAGTTGGAATGTAATGAATGCTTCTTAGTTCTCATGACATGCCATCAATTATGGGTTGTCTCAAGACAAAACAATCGTTAGTGCTTTTGAAGCTTTATCATTAGTAAAGAGGTTATAGTACTTATCACAGAAATAGTCAAGAAAATATAAGGTTGCAGTGTAACTAAGGAAGTCCTAATGATAGCAAAGATCCTTCAGTTTAAAGATCTTTTTACTGTCAGGTCAGTGATCAAGATCAGCACTTTCATCCAGGTCTGTTAGATGTTTTGCCAGCAATTAACCAGGTTTGACAAAAGGAGGGGATTCATCCCTCCTAACTAGGATTACTTCAAGATGAAGCAGGATATATCAGTAGGGGAGGAGAGGGTGTGAATGTATAATATATGGGGTTCTGCCTCACTGATTAGATACATCTTCAAGCACAATACCATTTTGAGATCTCTGTTGCTTTTAGATTGTTGGGGTAATGTAGATAGTTGGCTGATGTAGTTGTATGTTGTTGGGATAAAGTGGTTGGTGTGTTGTGTATGACAATTGGGCAGTCTCAGACATGATGTAGCATGTTTCTTGTCCTGGAGCTTTTCAGTGACCATGCTGAGGTTGCCAAGTCAGGAAAAGCTCAGAATGTCAACTCCGCCTAGGCAACCATGGATGCATCACAACTAGTATGTTTGGGCAGAGAAAAATAGTACTATAGATGATGTTTTGAGATATCTGGACTAAGTCTGACATTCTCATACGGACTTGGGTGGAGAGTTTGTTGGATTAGATGGGATTGTAAAATAACTTTTCTAATGCTCTTTTTAACATTTAAAAACTATTCAGACAGATTAGCTTTAGAAAACAATTTGAGGAAAAGAGCACATGTTTGCCTCCTCAGTATTATTTTCCTAATTAAAATTCTCCACATCGCCACAAGCCGCTAAGAGCTTAATGGAGAAGTATGGGATAGTGAATTTCTTCTTTTATTCCGTCTGCTTTTTAGCTTAAAAAGGGATATTTTAATGTTATTGGTATTATTTCTTCCATTCTGTTACTCTGCTTTTCTCCTTTCTAATCCAGGTGTTTATTGTCTAATTTCCTGTTTTTATGCATCAGAATTATATGTTGTCCAGAGTCACTTTTTGTAGTTATTTAAATTGAATAAACAAACAAATAAATAAATTGCAACAGGACTGCCTGCAGTCAGTTTGGGAAACATAAAGTTAAAGAAGATTTTCATTTATTTATAGTAATGTAGATTTAGTATAATATTACCAAACATTATTTGCCTTGTCATTAAGCAGGGAAACAGGAGAAAGAGCAAGGGTTATGGAAAAGAACTAAATTATAAATTATTAAGTGGAAAAATTGTAGAAATTGTATGACTACGGAGAGAGGAAAGCTGTAACTAAAAGGATAGGTTTCATATTATCATGAGGAGTGTGGGAAAATGTCAGAGAGCCAGAGTTGTTGGGCACAGGAACAGTCTGCTTAGGAAGCCAAGACTGAATTGGAGCCAACTTGTGGAGATCTTCCAGTGAAAAGGATCACAGACAATTTCAAATTTGTTAAATAACATGGTACAATTAAGAAAGTTACAAAGAAATGAAGAAAATAAAGAGGAAATTGTTAGATTAAGATCAGTCTCGTGTGACATAATGTGCTGGAATCTTTTGAACTACCCCAGTGATGACAGAAACCTTTCCCCAGGTATTTAATAGTCTTGTCTTGACTTTCAGATTTACCATAGCAAATAATAGGATCAAGAAAAGAAAATCAGATTCTCATTCGCATTTGTTGTAATGGAAGCTTAATGGATCCTAAAACACTGAATTGAACAGATTTTTATCTGATAATAATTTGTTAATCCATAGTACCCTAAAATCCAGGGAAGAGGTTGCAGAGATGGCTTTAAATCATCCCTTGGGAAGCACTTGGAATATTTTACTACTTTTCTGCCTTATATATATATTTATGGCTACTAAAATAAACATCCAAATATAAAGACATAGCAAACTGGATATGTACTGAAGATGCAATTTTGGATTATAGGTGTAAATGTACAAACAGTAAATTTTGTATTATTGGTAAAGTCCTTATTTAAACAATACATGTACATATATTATTCCCATGTATGTTTAGGCTTTTTCCTTTATGTTCCCCATCTATTTCTGTCTGAGAGCTTGCTTATTCTGTAATGGAAACTTGATGAAAGCATACAAAGCTTTTGATGACAGATTTATTCAGTCCTTAATTTCAAACCATCCAAGTTGCCACTTTTAGCTCTGGCTTCCATACAGAAAGAGATTTAATTAGCCATTCCACAAACTTCCCTCTTTCGCTCACCTTGCTCTCTTTTCCCACAGATAAAAAGAGATGTTATGTATCACATTCCAGAAAATTCTTTGTGATTTTTTGGGAAGCAAGCACAAGACATTTGAAAGTCATTCTGCAGATTTAAAAAAAGTGGGGGGGAAGCCATTTAGGAATTGCCAAGTAACAGGAACAGGCAACCACTCTAAGCCAAACACCCCCTGAAGTGTCTTACGGAAACATTCATTTAGAGAACCCTTTCGCTCCCTTGACATTTTAAAGTCCTTTGTTTCTACCCTGGTTGTTCTGGACTTTTTCTCTCTGTAAATTAGCTTTTCTTTAGGGTCTGGGGTGCAGCAAGAGTGTTGGGATGGGAGGAAAACATGTGGATATAAAAATGCTATTTCCTCAGCCTATCTCTTACAGTGCTTCAGCCCTCTCAGCAGGTAATGAGGATTATTTCAGGACTGCTTTTCTTCGCTTCCCAATATCAACCACAGCCACAGCCCAGTAGATTACAGAGCCTAGTGACTAGATGACAGTCCATCTTGGCTGGTATTGGCTGGAGGGGCTCTCCTGAGATTTGCACTCAGCCATTAATGCAACCTTCACTAGGAGTTGAAGGAGGCAGTGGTTCATAAGCTTTTTAAAGAAACCAATCTTAGATACCTTCATGTTTGACTGGGTCAAGTTTGAACTAGAGATGCACTTCTGTGTGGTGGTTAAAACACTAGGCTAGAAACAGAAAAAACTATACATTCTAGTCCTATCTTAGGCATGAGGCCAGTTGAATGACTTGGGCCAATCACACTCTCTCAGTCCTAGGAAGGAGACAATGACAAGCCACTTTTGAAATCTTGCTAAGAAAATTGTAGGGACTAGTTCAGGTAATTGCCAGAAGTCAAAACTGACTCAACAGTGCTAAATTAAAAAAAAGGTTTGGACTTGCCAATTTGGGGCAAGGTAGTCGCAGCAGAAAAATTCCAGGTGTTACATAGATGAGACCCTATGTGTTTTTTTATCAGGGCAACCTGCTCTACCCTAATATGGGATGGAGCACACTGTTTCCGCTTTTGCCTTTCAGTCCTAATCCAGGAGCCTTCCCAAACAGTCACTTTTGTGAAAAACTATTTTTTGTGTTAAATTTATGGATTGGGGGTGAAAGGCAAAAGCGGAAGCAGTATGCTTCGTTCCATATTTGGGTAGATCAGGTTGTCCTGATAAAAATCTCTCCCCTGATACAGCCAACAAGGCAAGGATATCCTGTGTCTTAGAGGCTAATACATCTACTTAATATGTAAGTAGCCTGGATTCAAATCCCAGATAGGCGGGCGGAGGCACTGGACTGTACAAGCAGGTGGGAGGGAAGGAGGAAAGTTCACCTGATCCTGACTCAGGATGAGGGGGGAGGAGGAACTGGCTGCAACACTCAAAAACACCCCCAGAGGCTTTATAGGAGCCTGGGGAGGGCGAAAAGAGCTCCCCCCCCCCACGGAGGCCCTCCGGAGGCTTCATGAGCTTCCCTGAAGCCTCCGGAGCGCAAAAACCCGGCCCTATGGGCAAACCAGAAGTTCGGGAACAGACTCCCGGTTTGCTTGGAGGGTCATTTTGAGCGCTCCGGAGGATTCAGGGAAGCCTCCTGAAGGTCCTTGAATTCTCCGGAGGGCCTCCGGGGGGCGGGGAGGCTGTTTTTGCCCTCCCCAGGCTCCTATAAAGCCTCTGGAGCCTGGGGAGGGCAAAAAAAGCATGCAAAAAATGGAGAGTCGTGCCTGTAGTGCGCACATGCGCACTGGGGGGTGTCGCACATTGCATTATGGGTGCGACACACCTGCACATGTGCTCCCCCCACTTATGGCATGTGAGCCAAAAAAGGTTTGCCATCACTGGTCTAAATGTGTAAATAAATTGTTAGATAACTATAGATAAATGCCTAAAAGAACTAAGATTTATTATAAGACACTACAAAAATGTAAAGCTATGTGTTCTGACCTAGGCTTCCTGATACAGTAAGCACACGCTTAGTCCCCCAAACCCTCTTTTTATTTCAATTACATGTGAATTACGTTCATTAACAGCCTGTAATGAGTTCCAAATAGTTGTAAAGAGTTCTACTGTAGGCTGCCAAAGTCTTTTGGGATAAGACTGATAAGCACCCACCTTTATCTTCCTTGAAACACTGCCAAAGACTTAACTGGCAATTAGCTTGGCAAGGCCACATAGAGCAAAGAGTCAAAACAGAGCTTCAGAAGGTAAACTGACCAGCTTGAAGCAAGTTGCTTCCTGCAAAGACTCACATGCCTTTGCTCTTCCTTTATGTCCTATGGGAAGGGCCAATCACCTCCAAGCCTTACTCCTGAATCATCCCTTATGTCTCAATTGTTCTTGCCTTCTGGCAGCTCTGCGCATGCGCGCACTGGGAACAGGGGGAGCCTGTTCCTCTGCCTTGCTGATGTCCGACTCTGGAGGATCTGGAGGCAGCACATAACTCCCAGATGGCCCTGGCCCCCTGTCTGCCTCCAACTCAGACCCCTTGTCCGAGCCTTCCCCAGACTCCAGGACTGGCCTATGTTCCTCCCCAACCTCCTCGCCGGCTCCACAGGCCACCATCCAACCACAACACTATGCTAGCTTATTGTATTTTTCGGAATATAAGACGCACCTTCCCCCCCCAAAAGAGGATGGAAATGTTGGTGCATCTTATACACCGAATACATCTATTTTTAGCCTCTGGAAACCCCACCCCATGCATCCCATTTCTCTTGAAGGATGGTCCACACACATTTCCCACCGGCATCCTGAGCTGCGGCTAAAAAGGAACTCCCACCTGTCACATGGTGAATGTCCTCCACCACCCCATTCCCAATCTAACATCCTGAGAAAAACCTTTGTGGAGAGCAGATCGGCCCTTTTCTCTTCCTCCACTCCTCCAGTCTGCCCAGATCTCTCATGCAGTGCCTATTGCTATTGCGCCCAGCGCCCATATCTCTTTGCTGCATGACAGATTCGGGCGGATAAGGGGTGGGGGTGGAGGAAGGGAAGAGGACCGATCTGCTCTCCACAGAGGCTTATTTCAGGACACTAGGTCTCCATTTTCTGTCTGGAAAAAGCTATTGACATCGTCGGGATCTTGGCTAGTGGAAGAAGTGTGGGATGGAAAGGAAACTTCAGAATATGGGCGTGCCGGGTCGGAAGTCTCCCTGCTCTCCAGGGACTGGCACCTGCTTTTGCCTTGAGACTAAGGAAGTGGGGTAGTGAAGAGGACTGTGAACTGGTCCAGTTGTTCAAAAAAGCAGCCTTACTGGGTCATTTTCTTTTGGCTTCCTTTTTGCCGCTCAGGCACCGCCACGAGGAACCGTTAATCCAAATGGAAGGGATCCCCACCCTTCCTCGCCCAATGGGACTGTCCCAGTTGAACCACTTCATCAGCCAGCGCACGTCTTTCCTTACTGAAGAGAAGAAGTGAGCCGACTGCTTCTCCTTGGGCAAAGCGGCTCCGCGTTGCGGAGGGAAGGGGGGGGAAATAAAGTACGGAGAGAGATGTTTAGTCCTGCCCTGCCATGGGAGGGGTAGAGAAAAGTGGATTTGAGATTGCTAAAAGCCTTACCCTTTAGGAAGATCAAGCCCGTACGGAGTTTCGGAAAGCCCACAGCACAGTGTAGCAGCCTCCTCCATGATGTCACAATGCAAGTTCTATCCTTTACAAATTTGGTTCCAGCATCATAATACAAGTATGAACTTGGCAAAAGTTGCATCACAATTTGTGTTTGACATTGGCCACAGCTTGTCTCCTCTATGGGTGCCCATCATAGTCACACCTTCAAGCTTTTATTGTGGAATCTAGAGTAGAATCCGGGGCTGCTGGTTCTGTAATAACATGCTCCTTTTCTTCTTTGGTTGATGTTGGGTCTTGGATCAGTTAATTCTTTGCCTTTCAAGGTCCCTTTGGTTCCTCATCATCACATAAGTCTTCTACAAGGCTTATAACAAATAATAGAGTTTTGTTATATTCATTTTCCTAGCATACATGACTGTATTAGAAAGGTAAGTTGAATGGATATATTTTTCCAGTTTCCAGTTTCATGATACTTTCTAAGTTGCTTCCTTCTCCCAAGACTTCTTTGCTGATTCTGATACAAAGTAGACCAAAACTCAGATTATTATTAGACTGCAGTCCCATTTACTAGAAGTGCAGAAGAGCATGCCTTAGTTTGTGTGATAAAACTTGTTGCTTCTTTTTACAAAATGTGAGAGTTGTAGTTATGTGAAAACCTCTAGGGATTAGCTAGAAAATCTCCTGCAGTTTTGCTAAGCTTCAATTTTTAGGAGCCTTTAGATAAGCAGTGAGAATTTAGGAGATTATCAGAATACTTGGCAGAATACCTCTTTTAATCTATTTGGAATCAATTGATCCTAAGGCATCGCTTATTTAGTTCCTTTTTCATTTTTAATTAAATAAAAATATGTGCGGATCGTATTAGAATTTGGCTGATTTGTTTGCTTTGTTTTTTTTTCTTTTATAGATAATTCTTGTAAGTTCTTCCCACAATGACCTGGACCAGAATCTTTTTATTAGTACAGATGAAGGTGCTACTTTTCAAAAGCAGCCCATTAATTTTTTTGTGGAAACACTGATATTTCATCCAAAGCAAGAAGACAAGGTGCTTGCTTACACCAAGGAGGGACAGGTAAATAACTAAAAAATGTTGTGTGGCTTTGCTTTTGATATATTTGAAATGTGTTCTGGACAACTTGGAGGAACAGTATGAAATATCAAACTATTTTACTACATAAAATACTGTAATATAACCAATATAGGAAACCTTTCCAAAACACTTCATATAACATCTGCATGCATATCATTTCCAACAGTTACAGATGAATAATCACATATAGAATTAAAGTATATTATAAACGGCATTAAACTTAACATTTAACAACAATGATTTAGTTGCAGTAGTATGTCATTAGTTGGTCCTGCAGTTACCGAGTGATTGATTGGTGCATATGAACCAGTTGCTGTGCAATGTGATCATTTATAGGAATCCAAATACTGGGCTCATTCTCAATCATGTTTGCTTAATATTGAAATGAATCTGCATTAAAAAAAATCTGTAACAAGTACATAAGCTATTTACACTTTTGGCTCTCTGGTATTAATTCAACTTTCAGTACTAATTTGTATATGCTTTATTCCTTGGCAAAAAGTATTAAGGATAAGACTATGTAAAGTTTTAAATATGTTTTAAACATCTTAAAATATGAAAGAGCCAAGTGGGGTAATGACTAAGATGTTTGACAAAATCAAGTCCATTGTCAGTTATGAAAATTCACTGGGTAAGTTTGAACCATTCACTTCTCTCCACTCTACTTCATAACTTGTTGAAGGGAAAAGTTGGAAGAATCCTGTGCTTTTTACCTTGTGCTCTTAGAGGAAATAATAATAAGTTTTCTCCTTCTTTTTCATTTTAAGCTTTATGCATCTCTTGATTTGGGAATAAAATGGACTCACATACAAGATCATGTGTCAAAAGATCATATTTACTGGTAAGAGGCATATTCTTGCTGTTCAGAATTACATAAAAAAGAATTATGGAGAAAAGTGATCTTTTTCAATCTTTGAGGGTATTCTACTCAACTATGCTGTATTACATAATATCTACAACTTTCCGTTAGTATTAATAACAAGTGAGAAAGTTTAATAGATTTAGTTATCAAGATAAGGAAAATATCTTCCATTTTTCTGCTTTACTTAAGTAATTTATTCTTAATTTTTATTATTTATGTTTTACTGAAAGATTTCCTACCATGTCCAATTCTAGAATGTTCATTGCTTCAAAGTACTTGCCCTGGGTAAAATAAGACCAAATTTTAGAAGGTCCCTCTTCTGACATTGAACATTTTTCTCCCAAAAATTTGTTGGTTATTCATTTGCCAATTATTAAATCAAATACTCTTGCGTAAGACATTGAACTCACCAAAGCTATTTAACCTTCTGATCTGCCAAACTGCATCATGAGGTAAATCAGGAATTCGGACTGGGCTGTATTTCTATCAGTTCTTACTTACCTAAAGATGTTTTTGTAGCTGGTGGTTCAAGTAAATGTTATATTCTAATTTGTGCTTAAATGATTAAATCATCTCTGCAACTGAATCCTACAGTTTTTCAGAACTTTTCTCAACAGCATGATTAATACTGATGCCTTAATGAACATGTGTTTTGATACCTTTGGTTGGTCAGAACCTTTATTTTAGTAATATAAATTACATCTGGGGGTCTGTGCCCTTCTTGATGTTGCTGCACTACAATTTCCAATAGGCCCAACTAGTTAACAATTCACCAACACTGAAAAACTGTTATCATCTACAAAGTCCCGAAGCAGACCGTCAGTCAGTATTACAGAGGATTATTTTCACTGAAAGGAATGTAGGAATTTGTCGTTTTTCCTTTCTTCCCATAGAGGCTTTTAAAAATACTGTAGCAATGGCAGTGAGAATACAGCAGTTTTATCATACCTCATACCCTTTCATTGGGAGGAAAATAAAACTTCTCTAGACAAACTGCATGTTTCAGGGGTTCTTTCTAGGAGAAAACCAAATGTGGGTAAAAGTTACTTTTCCACCTACTGAAAAGAAACAAAAGTAATATGTTTATAAACGAAAAAAGTTTTTTCTAAATGTAAGTGCATGTGATACAGTGAGTTGCATGTTTGTCTATATGGAGAGCCTGTATAGGCTCTTCCTCTTGTCTGTGAAAATTCCTCCTGTCCTAGAGTTGTGAGGAAGTTATGTTGTTACTATAATTATTGTTCCCACAGCCTATCCTTTCCCCTCTCCCCAAGTTTTTTATTTTATTTTACAATATATCCATATCAATGCATGAACATTGTGGCACATGGGTATCATACATTTTAGTACAAATAAAAATAATGCTATTTGTTCATTCCTCAGGCTTATGTAGTTCTAGTGTTAATACACATTTTTGTATTAAATTATAGACTTCCATTATTTAATTGTTCAATATTTCAATATGCTATTCCAATGCCAATTACAATATTGTTTAAACATACATAATAATACCATCATTCAATTTCTAATCTTTCCTCTTATTATTACTTTTATCTTATTGTATAAAAATGTGTATACTAAGGAGGAGCCAACATCGCTACGAGACAGACATGCGATCTCAATGCTCTGAGATTGCTGCTGAAACTTGTATCACTGGGTAGTCCAATCGGACCTAAACTGTCCCACAGAGACGGCGAATGGGAAGAATATGTCCTGCTGATCTCAGGGACACCACAAAGTCCCTGATCGACCCAGGAGAAGTTCTTCTAGCTGGCGATAAAAGCACAGCCCCTAGACTGATGAAGTTGGGACAGCTCCAAATGGAAGGAAACAGAAAAAGAAAGTGTTTACAGCTGGTGAGGAATTTTTACCGTTTTAAAAGAGCCTGCATACAAAAAACTTAAAATTAATTTAAATCTGAGAACAGAAGAAATAAGCGGCGGAATTAAGCTTTGAGTGGTTTTG